CCTTTTCTTGCCCTGTTACATTTCTCTTCTCCTCTCTCCCGAGGCCCCTGCTCTTAGCTTATAAGTCTCAGGGCTTCCAATCATGGGGTGCCACGTATGTACTGTCCATTGGTCCAGGTATGCGGAAGCAATGCATTAGCCCAAGCCTTGGCATTATATGGAGTTGTTTATTACTAGGAGTGCTCACCCTGAGAGGGTGGAAGGCGGAAACTGGCGCCATCCTAGGGTGTGGCTACATGCAGCTCCCTACAGTTCCCCCTTTTAGTTTTTGCAACAGGCGAGAACAGAGGCCCAATCCCCGTTGTGCTAGAGGCTGTGCTGACACTTGCCCAGGCTTTTATACCCAGAACAAGATTTAGGACTTTGATTGCTTACCACAAACACGAAAGGAGGATAGACACACACAGGAGTGGGCTTATAAGTAATGTTTCTCAAAGGCTGAATACCCTGCGAGCTACACCCCACAGATGAGGACCAATCCCCCATGGGGGTCCGTCGCTCCCACTGTCCCCAACCCTGGGAAGTACTCCATGTAGCCCACCAGTAAGCATGGCCAGGGGTTCCGCGTTCATGCAGCTGCCATTAATACCGCATAAGAGCCAATTATCAAAAGGGTTGGACACATACAGCTGTAATGGATCTTGATCACTAAAGTTTTGACCTGCATAGGTCTCATTAAACCTAGAGGCTATGCCTGGGGAAAAGGTAAATTGTTTCGCTTTGTCGGCCCAAGTTACAGTGTGGGACTGACACCCAGTCCACGGCCAGGTCTCTCCCCAATTCATTCCCCAACAATAGGGGGGATCGTAAGACTTCCGGAAACTGCGAACCATGGAGCCACCACATCACACTCCCCCAGAAACTTTTCTAACGTCCTATTACTCAACTTCACTTTCCGTGCATGCAACAGCTCCTTCAGAGCCTGAAAAATTGGGTGCGAAGTGGAAGCGCCCATGATGACTGATAATACTTTCGGTTTAGTTCCTTTTCGGTTTTAGTCTGCTCGTCAGCGAACTCTTGCTTTCTCTTATCTACAGAGAAGTGCCCATTACCTGGGTTGTCCTCACTCTAGGTGAGACTCCCGCTCCCCCCGAATTAGGGAGCGCGAGTTTTACTACCCTCTCTAGGCGGACCCCACTTACCTGGGTTGTCCTCACTCTAGGTGAGACTCCCACTCCCCCAAATTAGGGAGCGCAAGTTTTACTACCCGCTCTAGGCGGACCCCACTCTACCTGGGTTGTCCTCACTCTAGGTGAGACTCCCGCTCCCCCGAATTAGGGAGCGCGAGTTTTACTCCCCGCTCTAGGCGGACCCCACTTACCTCGGGGCTTACCGGTACCGTTCGCGCAGGGCTCCAACCAGCAACGGGACTGCAGTTCCCGGGTTTCGGCACCACTTGTCGCGCAGCCTTGCCAGCAAGGAAGAGGCGACCACTGGTTGAGTCTGCACAGCCTTTTCTTGCCCTGTTACATTTCTCTTCTCCTCTCTCCCGAGGCCCCTGCTCTTAGCTTATAAGTCTCAGGGCTTCCAATCATGGGGTGCCACGTATGTACTGTCCATTGGTCCAGGTACGCGGAAGCAATGCATTAGCCCAAGCCTTGGCCTTATATGGAGTTGTTTATTACTAGGAGTGCTCACCCCCTGAGAGGGTGGAAGGCGGAAACCGGCGCCATCCTAGGGCGCGGCTACACGCAGCTCCCTACAGTCTACCTTATAAAACAGCTTCTCTGAAAATGAAAAACATTGGCTTACATGAGGGGTAAACAATTGGCTTGATAAACAAAGGTGTGTTGGTGATGCAGGAAAATCACATTATTTCTTACTTCATCTGTGTCTGTGACAAACAATTCTGCTTTTAAAAATTTTTTTTTTTAGTAAAGGTCTACAGGGTCTCATTATGTAGATCTGACTCATAGTGATCGCCTGTATTCAGCCTCCCAAGCACTGGGATTACAGGCATGTGCCATCACGCCCAGTCTCAATTGCAGTCTCATCAAGCCCTGGGGCGGGGCTGGCACAGGAAGCCGGGGATTGAACCCTGGCCGCAGCTCTCTGCCTAAGCAGGCACTTAATCCACTGAGCTATTTGGCCAGCCACTCCTCCCTTTTTTTTGGAGATAGGCTCTTGCTGTGTAGTTCAGGCTGGTCTTGAGTTCACTATGTAGCCCAGGCTGTCCTCAAATTTGTGGTAATCCTCCTGCCTTAGTCTCCTGAGTGCTGAGTTTACAGGTGCGTGTCATCATGCCCAGTCAATTTTGCTTTATTAGAGTAGCAAAAATCAGCAGTTAGTTTAATGCTTTATATTTTTATTCACTACAGAATATTGATTTCATAAAAAGAATATAATCTGATACATCCTCATAGAACAACTTTCACCCTATGAAAAAATCAGCAAAACCAGCAGAAGTATAACTGATTATACAACACAGCAATGAAACCAAATGATCACACACAATAACTTTTCATTTGACATCTCAGACAAAGCATAACAGAGCTCGACAAATGCCAGTGCAGTGTTTGGGACCATTGACAAATATATGCAAGTGATGACACCAATCTTAACGCTCCTGAAATGCTCATTCTTTACCAGTTAAAACTAAAATAAATTGACAACACTGGCCAAAGACAAACTCCAAATCTGTTGAACAGGGGCAATATTTAATCAGAGGAAGAACACTGAATTGAGGACCATTACATTTGAACTCTTGTCTGTGACCCTGGATTGAGGATGCTGGGGAAGTAAGTTATGCTGCAAAGCCTTTACTTACTTTCAAAACAGAGGAACTAGATGGATAGTTCTTAAAGGGCATTCATGATTGTGAAGTCATTGACAATTTGTTTTCATGTTGCAAAATGAAAGCTCTATACTAACTTAACAGCTGATTGAAACTAGCTTCACTCATGCAAATTTGAAAAAAAAAAAATCTCTACCTTCTTAGCCCCATGACAGCCAAAGCCTCAAACTAATAAACTATAACAACAGGCTGCAGAGGAGGACAGGTGGCTCTCCCCAACACACAAACTCAAGATATAAAGTTTGAAAAACCCCACACTCCAAGGCTGAGACAGGAGGAGCACTACGAGTCCGAGCTGCACTGAGAGACCCTGTACCGAATAAATAAAAAAAGAATTTTAAAAAAATAGTAAAATCCCAAATTCGTGGTGATCAGAAAAGCTGTAATGGAAGAACTACAGGGAAGCCCTTCTTTGATATTAACATGAAGATTTACTAACAGAAGAAGCCAGGTGTATATATTAACTCTAATATAATTAAAATTTTTTTTCAGCACTGGGGATTGAGCACCAGATCGTTTGATTGAGCTACAACCCCAGTCCTTTTCATTTTTCATTTTGAGACAGGGTCTCGCTAATTTGCTAAACTGCCCAGGCCAAGCTTAAACTTGTGCCTCCTACCTCAGTTTTTCAAAATGCTGGGATTATAGGACTATAATTATTAACTGACTGAACATGCAAAAAATATACAGGCACAATGAGAAATCTGTGTATACTGAATATACATCCAAGGTCTGGCTGTACATGGGAGACTGCTGTAAACATGAAAATTAGGTTTATCAAGGAAGAATTTGGGATTCTGTTTACTATTGTTGACTCCTACTTCATAATCCATGAAGTCAACCTCTTTTACACAATCACAGAAACTAAGGGCATCTAGGTGTCCTTAAGGTACACTATCTATTCTTTATTTTTTCTAATCATATTACTCTGTCTTTTGCTTCTGAAAACCTGACTGAGGGGTTCTCATCATCTTCCTATTTGAAAATCAACTAGATTTTATTTCTTTGGGTCTAAGGTTTAAATCTGTCCTTATTTCTTCCTAATATTTTAATGTAATTCCTACATCAAATGTATTTCTACAACTATTAGTATTTACCTAGGATTTGCATGATAGAAATTAAGCCAATTCAATACACATGAATGCGCAAAGCAAAATTATTCTGAAAGTGTTAGGTTTTCTTAATATCCTTTCATTAAAGTACTAAAATGTTTTCTATTTAATAGTGGTGATGATTTTCAGCAAGGGCATGATCCTTGAAATATTTTCATGTCAAACTCAGCATTTTTCAGAAAACTTTCTCTTGTCTACTGTCCACCTACCATCCACCTCTCTCACTTGAGGTATCAGGCTCTGTCCTAGGAGGAGTTCTGCTTTTCCTCCTGACTGAGAAACCCTAATGCTGAAGACATGGCATCACCACTATGTATTTCTTGGGCTATGCCCATTTATAATTTGTATTATAAAACAATAGTTTTATATTTGTAATTCTAAATATGAAATTATTTTAATACTGCATACACTTTTTCAAACTCTACACAGTCTTTGTTTCCCCTCATTCCTAAGACTTTGATTTACTTCTTTATGGGGCATAATCTCTCTCTCTTGAGAATCACTGAAATAAAATCTAGCTTCTGAATTTATTACTAGTCAGGATAAAGCTCAAGAATGAAGTCTGACAAGATATCATGTCTGCATCTTTTTTTTTTTTATTTTTTTATTTTTAGGGAAGAGTCTACAGGGTGTTCAGGGTCTCACTACTACATCAGACTCTTAAGTGATTCTCCTGTTTACAGCCTCCCAAGAGCTGGGGTTACAGGTGCAGGCCACCATGTTCAGTCTCAACTGCCATCTCAGTGTGCCCCAGGGGTGGGACCCACACAGCAGGCCCAGGGATTGAACCCCTGGCCCCCCTGTGCCTGCTTGCAGGCACTTTAATCTGCTGAGCTATTTGGCAGGCCCTCATGTCTGCATCTTGTACTATGAATAACTACTACGAAGACAACAATATTCAATGTATTAATTATTGTAACTGTCCTACTAAGCTGTTTTGCGCAGGGGCCACGCTAATCTTCTCTGTATCGTTCTAATTTTAGTATATGTGCTGCTGAAGCGAGCGCTACTAACCTGTTTTGAAATTGTTTCATTGCTATTTCTTTCTTGATAAAATTAATTTTTAAAAAAGAATGAAGTTTGAGGGAATGGTATTCAATGGAAATACAGAAAGAAATTTTACTAGTGGATAGTATGGCACAATATTACAATATTGAACACTTAATGATTATTAAACCAAATTATTCCAATGTTATAGTTGAAAACTAATGCAGGACCATGTTTTAAAAATGACCAGCTGAAACCTTCAAGAAATTAAATCTTTTACGGTCAATTATGGAACAAATCACATTATTTTACTTGTTTAAAATATTTTTTTTCAATTGTGTGAACTACAAAGTTACACTCTTCCATTCCTACATCCTTACATTCATCCATTCTGATGTTCACACCTGAAAGTTTTGAATTTTCCCAACAAATTTTTATCAGTTTCTATCTCATTTAGCAACTTACAGTTGAATCTATAAAGTATTTCATAAAAATTGACTACTGTAGCAAATGTTGCTCTGATTAGTATCACAATATAAAGATTTAGAAGGAGAATAAAAAACTCTAAGTAATACTTCGAAAGTCTTCATTTGTCCAAATGTTGATGGAGCGAAACTTCCATATATTCTGAAACTAGATGATAATATAAATACATATAGAAGCTTAAAAACAGTTTTTGGAGAAAATAGGGGTGCACATCTCCCAAATTTTAGAAACGATTTCCTTTGCCTAACTGAAGCAGACAGGAGAGCGTGAATAGAAAGGGCGAAGCCAGAGGATCAGGACTGCGAGGGCTCGGTAGAACCCTGCGGCGCTGAGCCACCTCGTTCCTCCAACCAGGCACAACATTTAGAATGAGTGACACCAGGAGGGGCCAGCCTTGCAGACGTCAGTACTCTGCGTCGATGTGCTTGGCGATGGTGTTCAGCTGGATATTGCTGGTCCCTTCATATATTGCACCTAAAATGAAAGGGAGCAAAATAAATAGGAGTGGACCCACAGTTAAGGGTCATCTGAGAAATAAATGCTGTAAATATAACCTCTGCATTTGCTATAAAATTGCTACTGGTAACATCATTTAATGTCCCTAGAATATGGAGCTATGGGACAAAGTAATTTTGACTAAGAGAAGGCAATTTTCCATTAGCTGCATGGGCGTCCTGAACCAGCTCTTAACAGTTGAAGATTCTGGTTCCTCAACTATCAGTGCATGCACTCAGACTAGTATTAGGGAACGGGCAGCTTTGGGAGGCGCTGTGTTTATCTTCCCTTCTGGTAGCAGAGCCCTGGACTGCTCAGGCTGGACGAGGTGCTTTGCTTCTGAAATTAGAACATTGCTTCAAAGAATAGCATTAAACTACAATGATCACAAATACTAGCAATTTCAGGGAAAGAAAAACTAAGATAGTAGATTTTGTTGCAGTTTTACTAAAAGGCCTGTTGAGGCATTTTAAAAGGCAATTTGATATTTTTAAAATATAAATCAATTTTTTTTTGGGGGGGGAGTAGGAAGAAGTAGGGGAAAAAATTCCAGCCACAAAAGAGCCAATAAATGTATCCTGAAGAAACTGGGGTCTCCTTTGCTTTGGTACCAGTAATACACAATCAACAAGCACAATAGCTCAAATACCCAAAATGGTAAAGCAACCCAAATAAAATGTTTAAAAAAAATTTACTTACCAATCTTTGCATCTCGGAAGTATTTTTCTACAGGGTAATCTTTGGTGTAGCCTACTCCTCCCATCCACTCAATACATTTACTAGTTGTAAACCCTGCAATCTACCAAAAGAGATGCAGCAAATTACATATCGAGATCACTTAATTTATATATTATAAATACTTCTGCATGATATTTCTGTGTGATACTTTTAACAGAATGGTTTCACTGTGGTGATTAGAAGGATTAAAGTTATTTTAGAGGGCTGGAGAGATGGCTCAGTGGTCTAAAGCACCTACTTGGAACAAGCTTGGCAAAGCACAGGGACCGCGGTTCGATCCCCCAGCACCACATGCCAGCCAGCCCCGCCCCCTGGTGGGCTGAGCTGGCCACACACATACACACACTAAATAAAAATGTAATAAATAAATTTAAAAAAAAAAGTTATTTTAGAAATTAGCATTGTCTGTTTAGTCCTATACTCTAACCACTTCTGTAAAATATCCTATAATTCATGGATTATTTCCTTAAGAAAATCAATTCTTCATGGAGTTTAACCCAGAACCTTATACACCCTGGGCAAGTGCTCTACTACTGAGCTACATACACAGGCCAGAAAATCAGAATATTGTTGATATTCATATACTTGCCAGTAAGTGTCATTGATCAGCAAATATTAATTGACATTGCTTTCATGTCAAATACTGTACAACCCTGTGAGTATACAGTGATGGAGATGGAAGTCACTGGCCTTGTGATATTGGTGGCATTAGAAAAACACATTGAACATATAAGCATACAAACCCATAAACTTCCCAGGGCAAAAGAAAAGCCTTCTAGGAAGACTAATATGATTTATTTATTTATTTTATTTTATTTGCAGTACCTGGGATTGAACTCAGGACCCTACATTTGCCAAGCAGGTACTTATTCTACTGAGCTATCTCCCCGGCAGAAAGATCGGTGGGTTTTTTTGTTTGTTTGTTTGTTTTTTGTAGAACTGAGGATTGAACTCAGGCTCTTGAGCTTGGCAGGGAAGCATTTATTCCACTAAGACATCTCCCCTAATGTGATCTAAACAGTGAGACATTTGAGAAAAACTTGGTTAAGACCTACAGAATGAGTTAGAGCCATTTCAAGCTGAGGACTGGCACATGCTGAGGCTCTAAGGGATAAAGAGGACCATCAGTGTTGGGGACCGAGGCAGCCAGTGGTCTGGGATAACGGTGAGTTTTAAAAAGAGAAGAGGGACAGATTAGCTTTAGTGAATGGCCAGGATTCTGACCATTGATAAAGGCCCCTGAGGGCCTCCCACAGCCTAGCCAAGACGTCCACAGAAAATGAACAGTACCTCACATAGCCAAAGAGACTTTGTAGCTGTGGTGAGATTTAAATTTCATCCTGGAAAATCTGATGGCCCAATGTAAACACAAGGATGCTAGTAAGAGACAGAGGGAGCTAAGAGTTAGGTCAATAAAGGCAATGAACACAGCAACAGAAGGTAGAGCCACAGAGATATCTGAGCCTGCTAATGACTGGGTGTGAAGATGGAGGAGGAGGCTGCATGTCAAGGAGTATGAGCAGCCTACAGAAGCTTGTGGGCTTTTTCTTCAGAGCCCTCAGAAAGACAGTCCTTCTGATGCTTTTAGGCTACGTTTAGGTTCATTTCAGACTTCTGCCCTCTAGAAGTGGGGAGTATTGAAATGGCATGGTTTTAGGCTACTAGATTCTTGGTGATTTGTAATGGCACTGACAGGAGATTAATAAAGAATATTTATTGTAAGAAGCCACTAAAGGAGATAGCTCAGTAGAATAAGCACTTGCATTGCAAGCGCAAAGGTCTGAGTTCAATTCCCGGTCTCTCCCCACCAACCCCCCAAAAAAGAAGCCACTAAAAGCTGTAGTGATAGGACCTCAGGCACATTTTGAAAAGAGTCAGACTGGGTTTCAGTGAGCAAAGGAGTGGTTAGGTCAACAATAGTTTGCTTAAGAAATGACACATCTTGAGTGGATGGGATGGAAGAGAGAAAAATATATCAATTCAAGAAATCTTTTGTAGGTAGAATACATAGGAACTAACTATGGGTTTGGTATGGGGGAGATAGGAAAGAGATCAAAATGACTCAGGTTTCTGACGAGTGCCCTAGGTGGACAGCGCAAAAAAGTGTTGGATAATTTAGCAGGAACTCACAAGGGCACTTGAGGCAGAGATCAAGTTTAGAGTTGGAGAAGTTAAATGAGTATTTAAAGCCTGAAATGAGTCAGACTTACTGCCACGGCCAGAAAGCAGCTGCCAATAATGTGGCTAAATGCTCTACAAAAGTCTCACATGTTCATAGTATGCATATGTACAAGTGGGAAGCATAAAAAATATAGATGATCTTTTCTTGGTATCTTTAATCTTACTTGATTCTACTACCAGCCCATCATTTTCTATGGCAGTTTTTCTGCCCCCATGTGAAATGCCGGAGTCTGATGCCATCTTCAGAGGTCTTCTCCACAGCTTCCAGCCACTGACACACTGTGCTACTCATGAGATCCCCAAGACCCCACAAAATTAAAACGTTTTCCTCTGGCAGCTTTACTTTTTTATTTTTCTAGCATAAAAATTAAAAAGTCTTTGTTATATTTATTGAGAAACAACTCTAGGTTAAATCAGCACTTCAATGAAGAAATCGCTAAGAACAGATTTGAAAATAAATGAAAACTCACTTCCTTTTTTTTCCTTACCTCTGATGCATAATACTTGGCCATAGCTGCTTCTTTTATGAACGGCCTCCCCGCTTCTACAAGCCTGGCAGCGTTGTACGTTAGCAATCTCGCAGCTTCTAGCTGGGTGGCCACATATGCCACTTGGTGTTGGAGTCCCTGCAATATTCAGGCAGAATATTATTCAGGTTGCAGAATTATGATTTCTAAGACACAGCTTATCTTTAAGTCCTGCCAAGACATACAACACTAATAGACTTGAAATAACACAAAAGAAATTCACATTCATTTATTTTAAAATTTTTAAAACATCAGAAGTATCATGAAGCTCCCTTTTCCTAGAAAAATTTCAAAGTTCATATAATTCTTCATAATTGTTAATGCTTAAATAAAATATTATCACAAAGTCAGGTTTAAAAACTTGGCTGTTTTACTTAATATTTATCTTTAACTCTCTTTATGATCAAAATTAAACATGAACCAAAGCCTAGCACCTTAAAACTGACTATGCTTGCTTGAATTGAGAAAATTTTGATTTTTTTTCCCTATGAGATCAAGGCATTGTACATAGATTAAAAGAATGAGGGAACATTTGAAATATCAACTTTTTTCCTTCAGGTAACTTTATTAGAGAGAGTCTACAGCAATAGCTAATCATAGGTACCAGTTCCTTTAGGATTATAGAAAACAGAAGAATAATTTTAAAGCCAGCCTTTAAAAAAACCTGCTAGGGCCGGGGAGATGGCTCAGTAGAATAAGCACTTGCCTGGCAAGCTCAAGGGCCTGAGTTCAATCCCCAGTTCTGCAAAAACAAACAAAAACAAACAACAACAAAAAAAAAAAAAGAAAAAAAAAAAAGAAAAGAAAAAACCTGCTACTAGCCAAAAAGTTTAGAAAGTGATGGATGCTGTTAAATTATAATAAGAAAAATAAGTGACTTAGTGAGTCAAAATATAAATTACAGTTATCAGCAGAAACTGGAAGTACAGGTACAGATGATTACTGCAGGCCGTCACATTTCGTGTCTGACCCATCCATTCACCCAGTTGTTTATTCAGCACCTACTCGATGCAAGGCACTGAGCAACGGAGGCATGATACCGAGTATTACAGTCAATTTCCTTGTCTTCATGATCCGTACAATCCAGCAGGGAAAACAGACAATTAAACACACATAACTATGTAATGAATGTTGATTAACACAGAGAACCTTAAGGCAAATATTTAAGAATCCTAGAAGGACCTTTCTTAAACAAAAAAGGAATAAGATGAAGAAAAATAGGTTATCCTCTCGGTTTGCAAATATCCTAATGCCCTGTTCACTTCTGTGACATTTAACACTTGTAAAAGAAGACTGTTACATATATGTAGGGTATGAAACATAAAAATAAACTGAATGCCCACAGTGCTATGCATAGGGTACCCATCTCCTTCCTCATAATTCACATTTTACTTTATGGCGTCTTTTGAGAAAAAGAAATTTGATAGTTAAGTCCACCATTACGATTGGTCTCCATAATTAGTCTTTGTGTCTTGTGTCTTTGTGGGCTGTTTTGTTCTGTCACTCTGCTTATTTTTATACTAATATCACCATTCTAGGCATTTCAGATGGCTTTTTGTATGGAATTCAGGGATTTGAGTATTCATGCAAAATATATTTCAATTGAACCCCCAGTCACCACCCACACCATCTAATCCGACAATCACAGGAAGGACCATGAGATGCAGAAGAGCAGCTGCGGCGTGCCTCCTGCTTTGTACAACCTCAAGTACTGCTGAGTATTGGTTCCTTAATTACATGGTAAACCTAGGCCTGCTGAGGAGAACATACTCAACAAATATATGCCGAACAAACTGCAGGAAAGAAGAATGAACAGACTTGGTCACTATTCTGAAGGTAAGAACACATGTAAGGCCAAAAATAAACCAGATGATGAGATGAAATAGGCAGAGAAACTCAGTACAAACTTCAGTCAAAGCTTTATATAGTTAACGATGTTGTTTTTTAACATCAAATTTTTATCTTCAGAAAAACTCATCCAGAGTTGCTAAGCATGGTGACACACGCCTATAATCCCAACTCTTGCAGCCTGAGGCAGGAAGGAGGATGGCTATGACTTCGAGGACAACTTGGCCTAAATAGTATGTTCAAGGCCAACCTAAACTATATAGCAAAATCCTGTCTCACAAAGCCAAAATAAATTAATTTAGTTAAATCTATCCAGACTAGGCATCTCTAGAAATGTTGTGATTATACCTATTAGTAAATCTAACCCATATATATGTATCTCTCACTTCAATCTATGTGGAAGGCGACTCTGAGATCGTATGTAAGTATAATGAAATAAAATCCTGACCAGAAGCCAACATGAAACCCTGTCATTCTTGCACATACTATAAGAGCTCTATGGTCTTGGAAACCCAATCATCCATGCACCTTACATCCTGTATATAGGATGGAACGACAACGTGACCTCTGCCAGTCAGTGGCCAATACTGCCAGGCATGGTCCTTCCAGATCTTAGACTTACTGTGCATAGCCACAGCCTCCTATCTCTACCCAAGAATAATTGGGTATTTTCATCTAATGCCTAGTCTTTATAAACTTGATGACAATATAATATCACAAGGCTGCTTGTGGAGAGCTGCTAAGGACCGCGCCTACAAGATGGCGCTGGTTTCCGCCTTCCACCCCCCGTGGGTGAGCGCTCTCTGTGCACAACAACTCCTTATATGGCCAGGGCTGCAGTCATGATTCGCTTCCACATATGCTGGACCCATGGGCAATCCCCACGTGGTACACTGGGATTGGGCTCGGGAGTATATATTAGCCAAGGGCTGGGGGATTGGGAAAGAAGAAGCTTGCTGTAAGGGGCCTGAATAAACCGCTGAAGGAAGAGCTGTGTGTTGCGTCTTCCTTGCTGGCGAGGTTGTGCGCAACAAGTGGTGGCCCGTACGGGGACTCCATCTCAAGCCATCAGCTCAGAACCTTCAGTGGTCAGGGGGTGCACCGGTAAGTCCCCGGGTAAGTTGGGGATCCGCGACAAAAGCGGGGTTTAGGGCTCCTATCTGTAGATAAAGTAGGAGCACCAAGGTTCGCCTACGAGCGAATCCAGTTTGCCTACGAGCGAACTCCGAAGTGAAAGTATAAGTTGAATCATGGGCGCGTCTACTTCGCACCCAATTTTTTGGCTCTACAAGAGCTACTTCATTCTGAAAAGCTTAAACTAAAGAAGAAAACCTTAGAGAGGATGGTCCGATTGGACTTTCCTTGGCATATCCTGTTTTTCAGGACGCCCAAGGTAATAGATACCATGATCCCCTGGACTTCAAGACGATAAAATCCTTGGCTGAATCTGTTAGAACCTACGGCGTTTCAGCCGCAGTCACTGTCTCCCAGGTGGAAGCCTTTAGCCGCTACTGCATGACCCCTGGGATTGGAGTGGTGTAGCCCGAGCGTGCTTGAGCCCTGGGCAATATCTTGATTGGAGAACCTTTCTAATTGAGTTTGCAGGTGAGGAAGCAGCTGCCAATCAAGCTGCAGGTAACCCTGCATGGGATAGAGATATGCTGTTAGGTCAAGGTCGTTTTGCTAATCAGCAGACGGTTTATCCAGCTCAGGTCTATGCGCAAATCAATGGGATTGCCATCAGGGCCTGGAAATCCTTGCCAAATAGAGGGGAAGTGGGAGGCAACCTCACTAAGATCATACAGGGCCCTACTGAGACGTTCTCAGACTTTGCGACCCACATGATAGAGTCCGCAGGGAAGGTCTTTGGGAACGTGGAAGGCGCGAGCCCTGGACACTCAACTGCAGCTTAATGCACAATTGAAGGGGGGACTCCTGATAGTCAACCAAAGGATTGATTTAATTCAAGAACAAGTAGATGTCCTTTGGCAGGTGGCACAGCTTGGCTGTGAATGGAAGTACCCTGGGCTATGTATCACTAGTGTGCAGTTTAAGAATTTCACTCGTGCAGCTAATCTGTCTCGCCAGCTCTCGGCCCACCTTATAGGACAATGGAATAGCACCATTGACGCCCTTCTGGAGCAATTGAGGGTGGCGATCACTGCAGTGAATTCGACCCGCATGGATACCAGATTCGCAGAAGGACTAGCATCCTTACTCACAAAAGCCATGGACCACTTGAAGGAATGGGCGGGAGTGGGGGCCCTGACTGTCATGATAGTGCTGCTCTCCCTGGCATGTTTGTGGTGTATCTGTCGCATGAGGTCTCAGCGGCGGTGGGATGCAGTCATGATAGCCCAAGCCTTTGCGGCCGTCGAGGTTGGACAGTCCCCCGGTGCTTGGCTGGCCACCCTGGCCAAGTAGCCAGCCAAGTAGCACAGGCTGTGAGGCAAAGCACTGCACTTGGCACCCAGTGGAGCTGGAAGGCCAAGAAGGGTACGTCTGATTGCATGTGAGTTTGATGCCCTAAACTCCCCACCTCTACGGAAAACGGGTATCGGGCAAGTCGCATTGTCTCTGGGTGGAGAACGCCTGGACCACAATGCTACAGAGCCTTTGCACAGCAGAGATCAGACCACTGCCCTTGCTTGTTGCAAAACAAAAAGGGGGAACTGTGGAGAGCTGCGAAGGACCGCACCTACAAGATGGCGCTGGTTTCTGCCTTCCACCCCCCGTGGGTGAGCGCTCTCTGTGCACAACTCCTTATATGGCTAGGGCTGCTGTCATGATTTGCTTCCGCATATGCTGGACCCATGGGCGATCCCCACGTGGCGCACTGGGATTGGGCTCGGGAGTATATATTAGCCAAGGGCTGGGGGATTGGGAAAGAAGAAGCTTGCTGTAAGGGGCCTGAATAAACCGCTAAAGGAAGAGCTGTGTGTTGCGTCTTCCTTGCTGGCGAGGTCGTGCACAACAGCTGCTAGTGTGTTAAGAAACTATACTTTGAAATTGGTGATATTTAAGAGGAGGTTTTGCGACCATACAATGTAATTATTCTACTTCAAGTTGCCTAAAGTCTTGGTAAGTTGCCACTCCAGGCTGCCCCTACCCTGGCAAAAATCTCAAGTGGACAAGAATTTCCTTGCCATCAAGGAATCCCTGATTGTCTAGGGAGCTCCAAAAAGCCACTCAGTGGTCAATGGACAAGACTGGTATTTCCCAAAATGCTTTGCTGAGGGCATCTCAGCTGCACCTGCTACAGCAAAGTGTGCAAGTGCCAAAGTGTCCTCTGAAGATGGCCATATGGTCTGCTCTGAACAGGAGACGCGCAACAAGTGTTGCCACTACTGAGCACTTGTGATACTGATGCCATGTACTAACACTTTACGCGTTCCTTAAAAACGGAAAACACTATACTGCCTATACTGTAATATCATAGGCAAGGCAGTTAAAGCTTAGAGAGGTGCTTAAGGCCTAAAGGTAGGCACGCTGAGCATTCCTTTCCAGAATGCTTCAAAGTCTAAAGCTTTCTGAGTATCAGTATGATGCCATGAATGGAAAATTCCACATAATGAAACTTTGTTTCATGTAGAAAATTACTAAAAATATTGTATGAAATTACCTTTAGGATCACTAGATATGGTGTATATAAATATAAATGATACTTTTGTTTAAACTTCAATCCCATTACCAGGACATCTTATTACAATTCATGCAAATGTCCCCAAATCCAAAACTCTCTGAAATAAGAAACACTGTGGTCCCTAGCATTTCAGAGAAAGTGATACTCAACTTGAAGAACTGGTGTTATGGTTTGTGTCTAGTTGTCCCCCCAAAGCCTCACCATAAGTTATGGGGCAGATGGGGCTGGAGGAGCAATGGGTGGCTTAAGGGGTGGGGCCAGAGCACCAGGGTGGGGCCAAGGAGTGGGGCCAAAGAGGCAAGAACTGTTAAACTGGCTAGCTTGTGCTTTCTGAGAGACCTGGAGAGGGTCATCCTGGACACAGCAGTGCCCCAGCCTCTCCCCCAGTGTCTTGAAACCTCCACTAACTGTGAGCTAAATACACCTTTCCTTCCCTAAACTTGAGCGTCAGGTATTTGTCCCAGAAATGAGAAAAAAGTAACTAATACAGAATTTGGTACCAGAGAAGTGGGGTCATTGCTATGGCTATTCTTGACGATGTAGATTACAAGCTTTTGGGACTGGCTTATGGGAAGAAATAGAAAAGGTTTAGAGATGTCACCTACACTGGAAGAGCTTCAGCTCTTCTGTAAGGAAGATTCTGGTCAGAGCTCAGACCAGAAGACTGATAGAAAACCTGCCTGCAAAGACCAGGCTGGGGAGGTTTCTGCAGGGAAGAAGGACTACATTGGTTGTTGGACTCCCGATCATTCGTGTTTTGACTTGGCAGGACATTTGTCTGAATTTTTCCCATGTCCAGAGACTTTGCCTGAGAATGAGATTAAACACAGAGGACTGATTAATCTTTCTAAGGAAATCTCAAAGCAGTCAAATATTGGAGCAGTGGCATGGCTGTTGTTGGGGGCTTTCAGTCAGATTTATGTTGAGCACCAAGTGCAAAGAGCCCAGCAGGATGATATAAAATGTTGTGAATCTGGTCAGAAAGGAAGCTCCAGGCCAGCCAAATAGCTCAGTGGATTAAAGTGCCTGCAAGCAGACCAGGGGCCAGGAGTTCGATCCCTGGGCCTGTGGTGCCAGCCCTGCCCCCAGGGCATGCTGAAACAGTGACTGAGACTGGGCGTGATGGCGCGCACCTGTAATCCCAGCTCTTGGGAGGCTGTAAAACAGGTGGGGTCACTATGAATCTGATCAAGTAGTGAGACCCCAAACACCCTGTAGACCCTTCCCTAAAAAAAAAAAAAAAAAAAAAAAAAGAACGAATGAAAGGAAGGAAGGACAGAAGCTCCAGTAAAGCTGTGGAATGAAAAGATAGAGCCGCGAGGATCTCCATTGCCAAGAAGGAAAAAGAGAATGGAAAGGACGGCCTGAGAGCATCACAGGAGGTGGCAGGTTCTCGCCCTTTGCAGCCTCAGGATCACAAGGGTAAGGGACTTTGCTTTGAGGAGAAATCCGCAGAGCCCCACGTTCTAGAATGGAGGTGGCAGGCACACCAGGTTTCAGAATGGAGGCAGCGGCCACACCATATTCCAGTATGGTGCCGGCATAGAGAATTTATTTCTCGGGATCAGGGTCAGAGTGCTCAGCGATCCGGCCACTCAACCCCTACAGCCAAGAGAGAGGACAGCCTGGCTGCTGCTCCAGCTGGCAGCAGACCTTGGCATCATCCAGGTGGCACTGGTTTTAGGCACATGCAGAGTGCAGGAGTTCTGAGGTTAAGAAGGCTTCCACCCAGACTTCAGAGGGTGCCCCTGAGAGAGTAGTGTGTAAAGCTGTGAGTGAGAGGCCTATTCAGTGGAAACCCCAGAAATCTGGAAAAGCCAGGAATGTGGATCATCTAAGGAAAACTACAAAGAGGGAGCAAAGCCGGCCTATAAGAGAAGCCACAGGAGCTACCACCACCTGAAGTGCCACAGGCGCAGAGCCACATGGAGCTCACAATTTGCCACAGATTGCTTCAGATGTTCTACATGGAACTATAGGACTTAATGTTTGCCGTGCTGGATTTTGGACTTGTTTTGGCCCCAATGGTTTGTATCCTTCTGTGTATACCTTTTGGAATGGCAGTGTTTACCTTATGCCTTTGAATATTGGATATATTTAACTTTTTATTTGTACAAGGGCTCACAGTTGAGAGTTTGCCTTGGATCTTGAAGGAGACTTGGGACTTGGACTTTTCAGCATTGCTGAAACTGTTGGGACTTTGACAACTCTTAGACATGGACTAAAATGCCTTTTGAACAAAGGGATGTGCATGAGACTTTGGGGGTCTGGAGCGGAATGTTATGGTTTGTGTCTAGTTGTCCCCGCAAAGCCTCATGTAAGTTATGGGGCAGATGGGGCTGGAGCAGCAATGGGTGGCTTGAGAGGCGGGGCCACAGGACCAGGGCAGGGTCTGAGGAGTGGGGCCAGAGAGGCACAAACCATTAAACTGGCTGGCCTGTGCTTTCTAAGAGACGTGGAGAGGGTCATCCTGGACACAGAAGCGCCCCAGCCTGTCCTCCAGTGTCTTGAAACCTCCAGTAACTGTGAGCTAAATAAACCTTTCCTTCCCTAAACTTGAGTGTCGGGTATTTGTCCCAGCAATGAGAGAAAAATAACTAATACAACTAGGCTTTGAACAACAAAAAAGGTCTGACTTTAGATCTCATGGCCTAGACTCATGAAGCAGTGAGAACAAGGCTCTATAGTGTTCACCAAGATATCCTGAATCATGCACACTGGGACCTTAGGGCTGTCGCTCTCCTTTGAAAAAGATGAAAGCATTCACAATTATACCCCCTAAGATTATTTCCCACTAAAATCCCCCAAAGGATTCTGTCTGTGGCTTCTCAGCACAACTCTATTAAGTGAAAGAAGGGAAAGTCAAATGCAGTGGAAAGAGCCTAGTCGCCTACCTGAAAATCAAATATCCTCTGCCCAAATTGTTTTCTTTCTTTAAGATATGGAATGGTGTAGTCAAAACATCCTTGGGCCAGTCCCAGCATCTGTTAAAAAAAATACATCAGAATCTATCATTTTGTTAAAAGTTTATATTTTTACTTATTTAAATTGCATATTCCTTTTATAGAAAGATTGAATCATTCAATCATTGAGGTAGAGGAAGAACTGAAGCTACTGAGATGGAGAGGTGTGTGTTAATTTCACATCTTTATCCATTGCATTTATAGAAAATAATCCGTAGTAGTTGGGGGAAAATCTGGAGTGAGTTCATATGAGCGTGAATGTGTTTAATCCTAGCACAGCAGTAAACCACTTAGCATGGCTGTATTCACACAACCAGCCCTCTGTTTATGAATCTTTTCTTTAATGCTCTGACTCTCTAATCATAAAATAAGCCACAAAACTTTGCTCAGAAGTGGTCTCAAAGACTGCAGAGGGCTCCCTCCAGTCCTAGGAGTCAAATGTGGAGAGTCCCTTCTTTACTTTTTACCTTCTTGTCCATTTGGTTCATGACACACAAAAGTTCCAATGGAAAGGGCACTAGAATATAAGATTGCAGGGCTTCTCAACCCTAGGTGCAAATAAGATTCATGTGGGAAATTAAAAAAAAAAAATACCATTGCCCAAATATTATGGCTTGCATCTAGATGAACCCTAAGCCTCATGTGTTCAGAGGTGGGGGTTTTGGAACTGGCTGCTTCTAGAGTATGTGACGCTGGGATTAAGGATATGATGCTGAGACTGACTGATTGTGCAATGCTAGGATAAAGTGCCCCATGCTGGGTGGAAGTGCTGCCTGCCCTATGTGTGGGTAGCCCGGGTAGCATATAGGGACAGAAAGGGAGCTGCTGTTGTCATTTGTTCCTTTGCTGGATTTCTGCTTGCTGACTTGTGCCTGCCATCAGTTGTTTCTCCTCTTCCATGTCAACCTGCCTTGGAGCCCACCAACCCCGTGAACTAAAACCTCTGCAAACTGCAAGCTACAAAAACCTTTCTTCTATTTTTTTTTTTTTTAAGGTATTTGGTACAGGGTCTCATTATGCAGCTCAGATTCCTAGTGATCCTCTATAGGGGCCTGCCCATTAGCTCAGTTGTTTAAGTGCCTGCTTAAGCAAAGCAGTCAGGCTCAGGATTCTGTGGTTCGATCCCCAGATCCTCACGCCTTACCAGACCTGCCCTTAAGGCATCCTGAGCCAGAAAAAAAAAAAAAAAAAAAATCCTCCTAGTGATCCTCCTGCTTTCAGCCTCCCCAGCACTGGTATTATGGGCACGCACTACCCATGCCCAGACTCGGTGGCCACAGCTCAGCGTGCCTGGAAGAGGGGCAAGTGCAGCATGCAGTACTGGGGATCGAACCCTGGTCCCTGCACTAGCCTAAGCAGGCGTTTAGTCCACTGAGCTACCTCCTCAGCTCTGTCTTCTTGTAGCTTTAGATGTCAGGTATTTTGTCTCAGCAATGAGAAAAGTAACTAAGAGAGTAGTATATAACACCTGTGTATAACAACTGACTCCAAAAACCCTGCAATTAGGAGTTGGGGGGATTGAGTTTGGTCTAAGCATCAGCATCTTAAAAACTCATTGGCTGCTTTAATGTACAGCTGGAGTTCAGAACAATTTGATAGAGAGCTTATGATAAAACATTAATTTACATGCCTGAAGAACAAGTCAGGATATGGTAGCAATTTTAGCTGAACTATCTCGTTACTAACCAATTTTCATATCTATTGAACAATTCAAGCTTAGAAATGGTTTCTGAATTTCAACATTAGTAGCCATTAAATCACTATCTAATTATGTCAAACTATGTAGGTTTTGGAAAAAAATAAATCAATGAGGTATTTTGGGGAAGTGCCCACTAGCATATTAATATTTCACTACTACTCATTCACATGTTCCTTAACTTTTTACTTTGAACTCCTTGGAGGGTACATAATTATGTTAAAAGTTCCCACAAACCCCAAATTAAACCCCACTGAACTCCTGTGGTAAGCTGAGATGTTGTGCTGGGTGTGATGGCACATCAGATAATCCAGGGTACTCAGGAGGCTGATAAAGGAACACTGCAAGTTTGAGACCAACCCAAGAAATTTAGGGAGACCCTCTTAAAAGTACTTTTTTAAAAAAGGGCAGAGTTGGGGCCGGGGAGATGGCTCAGTGGAATAAGTGCTTCCTCTGGCGAGCACAAGAGCCTGAGTTCAATCCCCAGTTCCACCAAAAAAAAAAAAAAAAAAAAAAAAATGGGCAGAGTGTTGAGGGCCTTTAAATAGACCCTCTGCTGACACAAGTGTGACTCTCCTCAGCTGAACATAGCCAGATCGGTCTTCAACCTTTTCCCCTCATGGCAGTTAGGGGTCCTTTTTGAGAGGCAGGAATATTAGAAATAGTTAAGATAGGTACAATTTTTTTTTTTTTTTTTTTTTTTTTTTTTGGGAAGGGTCTACAGGTGTTCAGGGTCTCACTACTAGATTGGACTCACAGTGATCCTCCTGTTTACAGCCTCCCAAGAGCTGGGATTACAGGTGCGTACCACCAAGCCCAGTCTCAATTGCTATCTCATCGTGCCCCGGGGGCAGGCTGGCATGGCAGGCCTGGGGATCTAACCCTCGGGCCTGGTGTCTGCTTACAGGTGCTTTAATCCTCTGAGCTATTTGGCTGGCACTAGGATAGGTACAAATATTGTAGGCAGTCAGACAGGGCTGAACCCTTAAGAGGTCAGTTCAGAAGACATTGGCTGGAGGCACAGTCACTGAAGGCCAGGTGTCAAGAAAAGAACTAATGGCCCATACACTTCCCCTAGGGATGAACAGCCACGATGCATATTCTAGTAGGTACCAGTTACCCGGGAGTGGAGGACCAAATCTCCTTAATCCACCTCTCCCAAGAAAGTCCTTGTCCATCCCATGTGCACTTGCTATGTGACTTGTTTCCCCATTTGATCCCCATGTAATCAAAATTACGCTAGCGACTCTACTTGCTGTATACTTATTGGGTGACCATAATTTTGTGCCACCTCACACCCATCCTATGATTTGCCATTAGATCAATGTTAGTTGAGCGACTCGACTTGTAATCTCGCTGGCTGTAGTTCTGGCCCACCTTAAGCCCGCCTCACCTTGTGGCTTTCCTCCATAAGACACCCTTGAGAAGCAAGGTTGGGAAGCAACCCGCCTTCCAGGCCACCCTTCTTCCCACTCAGATGGAAGCTTTCTTTATCTCAATAGTTCTTTCTAGTCTTAAAAGAAATAAAAAAGGGCAGGGGGTATAGCTCAGTGGCAAAGCACTTCACTAACATTGAGAGGTCCTGGGTTCAGTCCTTAGTACCAGAAAAAAAAAGTAAGATGATTTCAGTATACTCACAAGTAACACTTAAAGGGCACAACATAATGGTCTATACTGACAGGAAAACTGATCCCGTCAGCTGTCAATCTAAATAGGTGTCTCCAGCTCAGCACAGTGTTTCCATTAGAAATACTGAAGAACCAAATCTCTCTACCTCCAGAGTTCTGAGGATGGATGACTTTAGTTCACTGTTAAATGTGCCTCCTCCTCTAAAAGGCATCCACTGAGACGTAATAACTACCTGACCTTAACTTTTAATTAGATTATAAGATAACCTGGAGTAATTAGACGAAAGCCCATGCCACATATTTTACTGCCAGAACATCTATATTATTTATGTCTGGAAACAATGAGGGCCAATACTGTAGGGTTTTTTTTGTTTTGTTTTGTTTTGTTTTGTTTTGTTTTTTGCAGAACTGGGGATTGAACTCAGGCCCTTGCACTTGCCAGGGAAGCGCTTATTCCACTAAGCCATCTCCCCAGCCCCTACTGTAGCTTTTAATACCATCTGTGATGCAGTCACATCACAGAAAAATCTTAAAAAGTACATAGATGCCAATGCTCTTTAGTAACTTCCGACTTTGCAGAAAATCCAGCTTAAGTCCTGTCTTGAGAGTAAGTGTGGCGGACTGAGGTTGGAGCATAGAGGCAGAGCACATGCTGAGCACGGCTGATGTGCAGACTAAAGGGTTAGTTCCAAAATACAATGGTTTGTTAACAGAGTAATAGCAGGAAAAACAAACAGACAACTGAAGCAATAAGTCAATATTTAACTCTTCTACCAGCTAATTTGATGTCAATGTATATCAAAATTTAAAAGCTGTAAATTCTTTTTTATTTTGTGGAACCAGGGATTGAACTCAGGTCCTTGCACTTGCCAAGGAAGTGCTTATTCCACTGAGCCATCTCCCTGGCTCCTGAGCTGTAAGTTCTTGGATTTTAGATACTTTACATTAAAAACATATTCTACACAAGTGATATTGTTGATAACAAAACACCAAACTGTATCCATTTTACTAATCTAGAAAATCTAAGACATTACTGAATAGAAAAATGCAAGCTGTATTACAAAGGGCAAACTTGGGAAAAACTTGAATAGTTTATTTTTACATATTTATTTAATCAGAACTGTTTTACTTCTGTGTCACAAAAAATGTTCAATTCTCACATGCAGAATAATGAATCTTCAATTATCTATAGACACCATTACACAGTACAATAATTATTGTTCCTAATTTTAGAAATTTCTTCCAGAATGAATTTTATGTTTTGAAAGGTTGATTTTTAAAAAAAATTTCCATATTTCCAGCCTGGCAAGTGCAAGGTCCTGAGTTCAATCCCCAGTACCACTAAATAAATAAATAGGAAAAAAATTTCCATATTTAAGACAAAACACAATAGCTGGGCATGGTGTCACACAATTGTAATCCCAGCACTTGGGAAGCTGAGGCAGGAGGATCATTTTGAGTTTGAGGCCAGCTTGGGCTACAAAGTGAGCTCTAGGCCAGCCTGAACTGCATAGTGAGACCCTGTTTCAAAAAGGCAAAAAGAAAAAAAAATCCATATTCAATCTACAATACATCAGAGAATTTTTGGTTCAGGTGTTGGATAATACTTTAACATTCTCAAAGCAGAAAAACTGTTATCCCTAAGCCACTGTTCGGTTCTCCAGATACTTACATAATTGACAAGTAGAATCTGAAAGAAGCAAGTGGAAGCATCCTTTCACCTCAGTAAGAAAAGGGTGCCATCTTGTGTTCACAGCTTCCAAATACTTTTTGGTCTTATGCATTTTTTTCTTTTGCATTTTCATTAGCTCATAACATAGAAGGGGTAAAATCTGACTCACCTGTGCAGAAATTCCTATTCTACCTTCATTAAGAATGCCTATGGCATATTTATAGCCATGTCCAACTTGTCCCAAGATATTGGCTTCTGGAACCTGAAAATAAAAATATGAACTTATTTCTTAAATTAAATTGGCACGACTCATTTCACGATACTTATTAAATACCAATGAGATTGTCTGTCAACATAAAGATGTCTTCTATGCTGTGTCCCCAAAGCCATGTTCCCTTTTGCATCCTCCAGAGCCTAGCACAATCTGCTCAATGAATGGTTGAATCTAGAAAGAGAATTCATATAATTCACCAATAATATAAATGAATACCAATTTCCCCCCAATTATCTGTATGCTAATAATATAACATATTAAGAACTGCAAAAAGCATGCACTACTTGCAAGAGCAGGAATAGTCACCCTTTCTTCTGTTGAGGTGATTCATCCTCATAAAGCCAACTGGGGTGTGTATAATGATGTACATGGAATATGTGCATATGCATGAGACAGGAGGAGAAAGGAGAGGGGAAAGAGACTGAAATGTTTCTTTTCTTTTTTTTTTTTTTTTTGGCAGTACTAGGGATTGAACTCAGGACCTTGCACTTGCCAGGCAAGCGCTTATTCTACTGAGCTATCTCCCTGGCCCTGAAATGTTTCTTCATAATTAAAAAAAAATAAGACTGGGGATGATAAATAATATTGAACTTTACACCATGGATGGTAAGTAGAGGGAACAAGGCAGGATAAAGAAAAGGGAAGAAAAAAGACACTAGGAAGGAGGTCAGTTAGGGGGAGGTCACAAAGCCCAAATGTCATCTGTAAAGACATCACAAATACACATGTGCACAAAGACCAAGCTCCACTATGAGAAGGAAAAGTCATGACAACGTGTCCTGAACATGTGGAGCGCCAACAGCTGCTTTGGCCTTAGCCTTCTGATCATCTTGTAAGGCCCTGCCTGGTTGCTCTTCACTCTAAACAACATCCCCATCTTGTGGCCTTTAGTGTACTAACACCAGACTTCCTTCTCTGAAGCTATCTTCTGGTCACAAATTCTATACTTCATAAAGTATACATGGTTCACAAGTATGCGACTTACAAACGTAACAGATATGCTGGGCACAGCGGCATACGCCTTTGACCCAGCCTTTGGGGGCTGAGGCAGAATCACTGTGAGTCAGAGACTAGCCTGAACTACACGGTGAGACCCTGCCTCACGACAATAGCACCTGAGAGAAATCCTCACTGCTTGGTCCTGAGGAGAGTTGCTGGACAGAAAGTTTTTGCTCCAGCCTAGACAGTTATGGAAAGTATACCTGTCCCCGAATTCAGTGAACAGCACTGTTTAGGGGTTCCACAAAATATCCTGCTGTGTATGCTTGTTGCCACCTAAAGTTTTGACACCTGTCTGGTTCCAAATGAAGTTTGTTTCACACCAGCCTTATTGATTATTCTAAAATACCCACCTTGACATTTTCAAATGTTAATGGGCAGGTGGAAGAAGCTCTGATCCCCAGTTTGTTTTCTGATTTCCCTACATGAAAGCCTTCTGTGTCACGATCTACTAAGAAGCAGGTGATTCCTTTATAACCCTAAAAAAGATTTACAATACTATTACCACTGGGAATTACAATATCCTTTGTTTATACAGCTTTCAAAGTAAAAAGAAAACTAAAAGTGGACATTAGCAATAAATACTAAAGGTCTCTGAACTGCAACACATGCATTACAAAAGAATGATGCCTGGGGGGCATTAGATACAAATTAAAGAACCTCACTTTTTTTCCACTGTTTTAGAAACTATAATGAATATTAAAATTGTTGTTACAACAAGGCATTATATGATCACGAAAATCCTATGTTTAAATTCAATATTTTGTTAAATATCTTAAAAGTTTTAGCAATTTAATTCAATTAAATATTACATAAGTAAAAAGACAAAAAAAAACCCAATTTATCATTTTGCTGTATTTGTTGTCCAACTGAATAAAACATTACTAAAAATAAATGTGGTATGTAGGTACTAAATTCATTATCAAAAAAGAAAAACTGAAATTCTACAAAATTAAAGATTAGCTTCCTATGAACATATCAAAAGGTAAGTCGTAAATGTTCCCCTGTGTAATTAATAATTATATTAACAATAAGGGGATTAAAAAAGAAGGTGAAAAGATGCCAGTGCAAGTCTCACATTTCTAGTATTTGGCAATATAAAGACATTAATTAAATCCTAGAAGCGAAATGGAAGGAGGAAAGAAAAAGAGGAAAGATGATGGGGAAAGAGTAAAATTTGTTTTCAAACTTACAGCAGCAAGGTCTACATTTGCAAAAACCAGGAAGAGCTCTGCATGCCCTGCGCTGCTAATCCACATCTTTGACCCATTGATGACGTAGTAATTTCCCTTTTTTTCAGCTCTGGTTTTCAAAGAAAAGGAGTCGCTACCTGCTCCAGCCTCTGAAAGGCAAAAGCTTCCTAGCTGCACACGTAAGGAGCAAAATAATCAAAATTAGTAATTGTATTTATGCTCTGCATAACAAATACTTAATGACAAAAGGGAAATTGCAAATCAAACCTTTAGTTACTATTTTAAAAAGTCTATCAAAGTAGTTTATTGTCAGTGCCATTTCCAAACCACTGTACGGTTTGTTTAAGGTAAACTTAAGGACTTACGAATTCACATCGGACTTTATGAAATTCATTCTAATAATTATAGTAGTAGGCAATCTCAATGCAAATGAAACCATTAACAAAGGGACTAGAAAATAGAATTTGGACAAAAAAGAAAATAATTTTATTGTCTGATAATCATTCACTAGATTTCCAAGTGCCATGTGGGAAGCAGAGTATATTTTTCTTATGGAGAGTTGGTAGAGTAATTGGTGGTGCCGCACTGTGGTCTTGAATAATGAACGTCAACATTGCAACTATTTTTTTTTTCCCCCTGAAAATATCATAATTGTGGAAAAGACCAGATCCCTTGCAACTCACGTCTTCTGTAATCAGCTTAGGTAAGTAGGTGGCCTTTTGTTCTTCTGTTCCATGTTTCACAATGAGCTTGTTAATCACTGTGTTCTGAAGGTCACACAGGAGAGCCACAGATGCGTCGACTTTGGCTAATTCCTCTATCACTAGGATGGAGGAAAAAAACGAAGCTCCGGTTCCTCCATACTCGGCATCAACTTCAATACCCATCAACTAAAGGAAAAATAAGGAACAGATTAGGGAAGCTGTTTTTATACTGGGAAGTTCTTACAAGAATAAGCTCTAAAGTAAATCACAGCCAGATATGCTCTTCACTAAAATACTGTACATATATTTTCATATATGTGCTGGCCACATGAGCACAACTGTACACAGATTTTGTTTTACTTTAGTATGGCTGTTTTGGTGTAAGTAACGAGGTATCCACAGTGGAAACTATTTGAAAAGGATCAATTACACGCTAGATCTGGGCATGGGCGTGCAGGTCTGTTACCCAGCACTTGGGTGGCTGAGGCTGGAGACTGTCACAAGCTTGAGGCCAGCCTGAAAGAGCGAGACCCTGTCTCAAAAAAAAAAGATACTAGAACTACTGTTGGTCTCCTTTTTGGCCTCCAAATTAAGAAGTAAAATGTCTTAAAGAGTAGCTTCATGAAATGACACAATTTTTTTTTTTTTTTTTTTTTTTTTTTTTTTTTGCACCAGGGATCAGTCAGGACCTTGCACTTGCCAGGCAAGCACTTATTCCACTGACCTATCTCCCCAGCCAGAGACAATATTTTATATAAAGATACTCTTAAGGCCTTTCTTCCTAAAGACCACAAGCGTTCTTTGGTCTTTCAGCAAAGTCCCCATTATACTCATTTGAATGGAATAGCAAGAAAGTAACCAGCCCTCAGGAGAATGTCTACAGTTTCATTTGGCAGAATCTCTTCTAGGCAGGCCCCTCCACCTTGCTGTTTTTCAGCAGACATAATAACTAAAGATCTTTCCACTTGGGGTCTTCCAGCAGGTCTTGGATGGTTAACAGGTATCATTTGGTGGTGGTTGCTAGAGTCACACCTGGCAAGGCACAGGTGCCTATTACAAGTGACAAGGTTGGTCAAGGCTTTCCAAGAACCTTGAGCAAGTCTGACTGTTCTGTCTGTCCTGTGAAAGCTGGGGGAATGACCATTCCTCAGAACTATTCCAATTTCAAGTACCCTCATTTCAAAAAGGGAGTATGTGTACATGTGACTTGAAACTCACAGTTGGCAAGAGACATAACGTTTCTATATTGTCTAGTCCAGTGGAGGTAAACCTACGGCAGGGGTGCTGCAGGGGACTGCTTGCTTCATTGAGAGCTCTAAAAGGTTCACCAGCACTGCTCGACTCCCTGGAAGTACACTATGCTGCAGTTGGGGCTGTTACATTTCAAGGTGAAGGAAGACTCACTCTGCTGCTTCGAAGGAAGAACCACTAAGGGTAAAGATTGAAAGGTAAGGGAACCATAAGTGCTGCTCTCTGAGACAGTGTGTGTGTTCCTGAAGATTGGAGTGCCTGATAGCTCGCTGATTATAGGATCTTGGTCAATCATCCAGGATTCTATTTCGCTATAACAGTTATGACTTTCTGTACTGATATGGAAGTATGTTGCAGGTGACCAAAGAAGTGGGACAGTAGGGATTAGGAGGTAGGTGAGGCCAGGCTGACAAGAACAGATTATGAGGATGGGTAACAATTACGTGCAGTCCTGACCCACATGACTATCACCTCAAATGAATGATTTCCAAGCTATGAGACTAGGATTCCCAAGGGCCTGCAGGGTCTGCCAGGGAATGAAACAGGCTATGAAACATGGCTAAGAAATGAGCCCACTGAGCATTATACACCAGGCTTCTGTTTGGCCCAATGTGGCTCTACACAAGAGTCTGTTTTCTTGAATTTCACTGCCAACAGAGAGCTGGAGAAGTTACCAAAATTTGGCCATTTTAAAACAAGAAAAAGGGGCCGGGGAGATGGCTCAGTTGAAAAAGCACTTCCCTGGCAAGCGCAAGGGTCTGAGTTCAATCCCTGGTTCTGCTAAATAAATAAATAAATAAATCAAATAAAACAAGAAAAAAATCTTTCTGACTAATTTGCAAAGGTTATATTTCAAACAGGGTAGATTTAGGACACTCAGTGGTTCTGAATGCCAGTGACTAGCTCTGGAACTTCTTTAGTATTGAAAATGAAAAGGAAGTAAATTTTCTATCTATGCAGAAAGAGAATGTGGGAATGAATGCAGTCATTTTTAGTGTTCCCCACGGAGACCACATGCTCATAACCTCTGTCTACACAGAGCCCGGGCAGTTCTACTGTACTTCACTTTATATGTCATGTCCACCAAGAACCATGTGACAACTTGGAAATCTGTTGTCCTGTTGCATGTGGAATTCAGATATCACTGCTGCTTCTGCGTATCCCAATGCGCTACACTATGATGTTGTATTGAGCTGGACAATCTCTGGTGTGGCGGTGGTTCTGTGCGTGGTAGCATGTTCAGCAGAACTCCTGGCCTTGGCCACTGTCCCACAAGACACCAGTAGCATGCACCCTGGTGAGTAAAAACTGTCCTTAGCTAAGAAACACTGGTCTATTAAAAAAAGAAAAACAGAATCACTGGTCTACAGAAATCATATTCCTACTTCCAACATTTTCCTGAAAAAGCACATTTCCAATGTAATGTTTGTTCAACTAGTATTAAAAAATCAAGTATGTAAATACTAATAGAAATATTACAGGACCTCAGTGAAGAGAACACAGATAATTTGTGCTGGAATATGCAGAGTTCATTATGTTCATTACAATCCCTACACTTGAAAATATCCTTACATTTTAACACTGGAATATCTTTATAAAAACTCTGAAATGGAAAGAAATATGAAATATTTACCCCGTGTTGAAATAATCCTTGTATTATTGATTTGTCCATTTTTGAGTTTTCATCCATGATTGAAACCAAAGGAGCAATTTGTTCCTGTGCAAATTTTTTAACTGCAGGAAAAGGAATTACTAATAAATCTGTGTTCAAGTACAAGTCATTTTAATAGCGATTATAATAGTTCATTAATAGTTTGCTGATAAGTTTACTTCTAACTAGTAAGACACACAGATACATTTACTCTTCTAAAATAAAAGTTATCATGGGGAGATGGAGAAAAGGAAGGGAAAAGAAAAAAAAAATATATATATATATTAGTTGGGACAGCTATACTACTAATTTCTCTTTGATCATTGGGGAGACAGGTTTGTGCTAATATTGTTTGGACAATTAAATGCCAATGTCTTGTGTTTTGTAACTAATTTGAAGATAAAAATGAGCAATGTATTAACCAATTGTTACCCTCTTATCATCTTGTTTTGAAATTTTCGCTTTTTCTCTTAAAAATTAACAAATATAATTTTTTAACATAGGAAAATATAAATCCCCATTCCTTTTCATAATCCCTGATATTAAAAAATAAATAATATATTTACATGGCACAGAAATATAAATACAGAAAGCACAAAATGAAAAGTGAAAACCCAGCTGAGTGTGGTGGTGCACGCCTGTAATCCTAGCACTCAGGGGCTGAGGCAGGAGGATGGCTGTGAGTTCAAGACCAGCCTGAGGTACAAAGTGAGCTCAAGGCCATCCAGAACTACGTAGTGAGACCCTGTCTCAAAAAGACAAGAAGAAGAGGAAGAGGAAGAGGAAGAAGAGGAAGAAGAGGAGGAAGAGGAAGAGGAGGAAGAGGAGGAAGAGGAAGAAGAGGAAGAGGAGGAAGAGGAAGAGGAGGGGGAGGAGGAGGAGGAGGAGGAGGAGGAGGAAGAAGAAGAAAA